CTACCGAGGAAAGGAGTACCCAAGAATCGACTCAAAACAGCAAACGTGTTTCCCAGGAACAACCGTTGATTGCGCAATCAGCTCATCTAAGCGACCTTGAAGATGTGCCCAGCGCGGCATATCTACATTCCATCTCTCCACAGACGATGACGGTCAATCTCATTGTTGGCATCATCTCCATCGCTGAGCCACGCACGGTGAAAACTAGGTGGGGCTCAACCAAGTCATTAATCGAACTTCTCGTTGGAGATGAGACCAAATCTGGCTTCAGTGTCACCTTCTGGCTATCTTCAGAACTCAACGAGTCCTCCAGCAAAATTCTTAGGGAGCTTCGCAGACAGGACATCGTGCTTCTGCGCAATGTCGCGCTGAGCGTCTTCATGAAGAAGGTCCATGGACACAGTCTACGAAAGGGTCTCACCAAGGTCGACCTACTCCACAGAAGGAAGTTGGACAGAGATGACCACGGCGGATTATATACTATGAAAGATGTCTCTTCAACGAGATCGGCACATCCTCAGTTGCTGAAAACGAGAAGGGTATGGGAATGGGTCATGAACTTCGTTGGCGCCGGCGGCACATCTCTTGGAAAGAGAAAGCAAGACGGAAAACCTATGAGGGCTTGGGATATGCCACCGGAAGATACGCAGTGAGGTGTCATGCGAAAGCGGCACTGCCTCACTTTCTGCAGATGCGAGATTCAAATACCTGTTTTCAAGTTTCTCCGAGGTTTAAAGTAGACATCCGGTTCGGCATTACTTCGAGGTTGTTATCCAATGACAACTGGTGTTTCGACTTGGGCAGACGATCCTCGCAGGTCCCAGTTCTCTACAATGAGCAGTTAGGAGAATATGTAAGTTCCAACAAATCTGAGTTCCTTTCAGGCGCTTTTGATTGATATTGTGCTCGAGATAACGCTCGCATGATTCGCGGTGCATTAGTTAGATCTAACCTAATGTGCCCCTATCTACCTTAGGTAGCTAGGTACCTACCTGAGAAAGCCTGGTTGGCCTGATGAATCTCGAAAGGATCTTGCTCCATAGTACCGTGGCTCACAGGGGTATCCGCTGCAAGTTGAACATGCGCGACTTCCCATGGTCCAGTCTTGTCGATATCTGCCTAGCAGGATGCTCGAATTGGCCAATGGGGACTCGACTGATAGGGCCAGAACAGCGTGGGGGGCTTGGCTCACTCGTCACCGCCTACCCTTTACGGGCCAATCTACCCCTCCACCAAGATTTTCGTGTGCCATTCACCCCGCTATTTGGCAATATGAAAATTATTTAGTAACAGGAAGGATTCGCATAGTCTCATAGTCTGCGCATTCTCTGCATAAGGCCGTTCATACAACATAAAAATCATAAGGTGGTTTGTCAAGCTAATTTATTTCGTTTTCGTCCCGTGTGACCTTCTCAGGGCTGATCAGGTTAGATCTTTTTCTTCCCTTGTGCCCCTCGGGTCATCTATCCCCTTTTGCCCATCCATAAGTTTGCGCGTCTCTCCTACTGAGTGCGCGATAAATCGTAGCTCAGCTCTTCGCTCCTCCTTCTTCCTACCTCCTAGCCTCACTCGGCGACGTTGAGCCATGGCAGGCTACGACTACTACAAGACTCCTCTGGACTCCCGCTACTCTAGCGAGGAGATGAAGAAGTTGTTCAGCCAGAGGAGCAGACATAGCACTTGGCGCCAGCTTTGGTTGTGGCTCGCCGAATCGGAGAAGGAACTTGGTCTCGAATCCAGTAAGTAGTTGACGCGCTCTCCAAGGCGCCAGATTGTCGCCGCTGCGCCTGAGCATGTCGCATATAGTCAATTCGTTGATTACCACTATCTATCACCAATTAGCTCCATAATCTGCTAGATCATCCCTATATTAACGTTGGATGCTACTTTAGTCACGGACGAAGCGCTCGAGCAGATGCGAGCCCACCTTACCGTGACGGACGACGATTTCGAAATCGCAATCGAGGAGGAACGACGTCGCCGGCACGATGTCATGGGCCATGTCCATGCCTATGGCGTCGTGGCTCCGGCGGCAGCTGGTATCATCCATGCTGGTGTAGGCTCATGATGAATCCGGAGGACTTTCCATACGCTAATGTCGCACTTAGGCTACTTCATGCTTTGGTAGCTTACCATGCATTCCTTCATATGCCTTATTGGTATTAATTGTCTCGTAGTTACTGATAACACGGAGTTGATTCTTATGCGCGATGCCATGGACCTTCTTCTCCCTAAGCTGGCCAAGGTTATCAGGGTAAGTCATTATTATAGAGCGGCAAATACTACCAAAAGATCTAGACCCTTGAACTCAATACTGACTTAATGTAGTACGTAAACGAACAGCAATGTCGACTGCACCACGTCTCAAGATGTGCATCTTCAAAGTGATGCGACTTTTGAGGGCGAGATGGCTTCGGGGCAAAGCGTGCTGATCTTCCGTAGCAATCTGTCCAACTTTGCGCAGCAATGGCGCGATGAGCCAACCCTCGGCTATACGCACTATCAACCTGTGAGTATCGCCAAAACAGTGTCATTAAACGTTTTGGGGTGGCTGGTTCCAAACGCTGGATGTGTCCCGAGCCTTCGAGGGGATATAACCAGTTACGCCATCAATTCGACCCTGGCATCATTGGAAGATTCAGAGAGTAGAATTGCTGATCTTTACGGCTAGGCGCAATTAATTACTGTTGGCAAGCGAGCTGCTCAATGGATCCAGGAACTCGTCATGGATCTTGAGGATATCGAACATGTGCGCAAGGAACTTCGGTTTCGAGGAGGCCAAGGAACTACCGGCACTCAGGCGTCTTTCCTCGAATTATTCAAGGGTGATGAAGACAAAGTTGATCAACTAAATGTCCTTCTTTGCAAGAAGGCTGGATTCCCCGGTGTGAGTCACTCCTAGAATCATCGCGAAGACCGAGCTATTGATACTGATGATCGCAGTGTTATTCAATCTCGACGCAGACTTACACACGGAAAGTCGACCTGCGAATAGCTAACGCTATTGCTGGCTTGGGTGCTACTACGCAACGTATCACAGCTGACAGTAAGTTCCTAAAGGGCCTACAACATAGCTCGCGACGCTTGAGACTAACTTCGATAGTTCGACATCTTGCGAACCTCAAGGAGCTGTTCGTAGAACAATCCCAGAAATATCTACGTACATAAACTAACTCTTATTATTAGGGAAGAGCCATTTGAGAAAGATCAGATTGGAAGTAAGTCATTTCCAGAATGAGCACAATTCGTACTCTTGGAAGATTCCTTTATGAGTCTTTTCTAAGAAAGTAACGAAGTATTCCCCATATGAACAGCGTTTATTCGTAACAATATTCGTACCAAGTGCTAATGCCAGTCCTCTAGGCTCCGCCATGGCCTACAAGAGGAATCCTATGCGGTAAGTACAGAGCACCTCAGGACGTCAAATGGAAGCCTGGGAGAAGCAGGATAAGTCACTCGCAATTGTCGTGGTGGCAATCTTGTACATCGGATGCTTCTATTATATCCCCTGTTGCTAACACATCTGATTGTAGTTCTGAGCGTATTTGCTCTCTTGCCCGGAAGCTTGCCAGTCTCCCAGTCAATTTCTCCAACACATTTTCGGCACAATGGCTGGAGAGATCTCTTGATGATAGCGGTAAGCAGCATGGTATTCGGTTTGTTGTAAAATGCTAATTGTGAACTGAATAGCCATCCGGCGCATCGACATCCCGGAAATGGTGAGGCTACAAATCCAGTCGACCCAGAAGGCGTGTATAAAAGTTAACCGTCATTAGTTCCTCCTTGCAGATGCTATTTTGATCGGACTTGACAATGTGACCAACGGCCTGGTCGTTTACCCGAAGCGAATAGACGCGCGTAATAGACAGGAGCTGCCCTTTGTACGTGCATTTGAATGAACTCGGTTGCGAGCTTTCTCTGAAGTCCATTGGTTTATCTTCCTATCCTTAATATCTACTAACCTGAGACGTTATAGATGATTACTGAAGCCATCTTAATGAAGATGGTTTCTAAAGGAGGTTCTCGACAGGAAGCGCATGAAAAAGTCAGAGTGCTTTCTCACGAAGCGAGCCATGTTGTCAAGCACGAAGGTATGCTTTTCCATATTGAACCTTTCGTTAAAACGCTCGTCTATTGATTTCTGGGCCTATGCTAACTAGTTTCACAGTATGTTGCCATACCATTTTATATTCGTGTACTCTAAGAGCGCGATCGGGCGTTTGCCAAAGTTTTAGGTGACCTACGTGCTAACATGTAGTAGGGTGGTAACAATGATCTCGTTGAGCGCATTAAGAAGGATGAATACTTCAAGGACATTTGGGATGATCTTGATGCAATGCTAGACCCCAAGCTCTACACCGGCCGAAGCGCCACAATTGTAAGTACTTGCCACCCTTCGCTTGTCCACTCCCGATAGTCCTTGGCTCTATTTGTGAGGTATAAGGTCAAAGTTAGGACTCGCAACTTCATCCTGGTTTCAATTGAAAGTTCTGTCACGCAGCAGATACTAACTAGAGACGATATAGGTTGACAGGTACTGTGGTAAGGGAGGCGTTGTCGAGAAGAAGCTGGAACCATACTCGGAATACATTTCCAAGGCAGAGACTTTCCAGCTCAGCCTCTGACCGCCCCATTATATATTTTGTTATTACCTCTCCTGTGGACTCCCTGGCTCCTGGGCGCAGCGTATTGCGGAAGCTCCACAGGACACGTATGACACCCACCTATTTTGTCTTGTGGTTTTAGCTATAGCAAGGAGTTCATGGGCACGATAATCTATGCGGCAAGACGTGGAGAGATAGACAAGACGTACAAGAGCAATCGTCATGGAACAAGAAAAAAAGTGCTTATATTATTATATTCTCATGATTTATGGAAGTTGCCAGAATGAGACTGTTCCTCTATGTAAGACGTAATGTACGTGTTCATTTATGCTCTGCGATCATACATGCCGAAATAATTATAATTCCTGACAGCCGGATTACTGGTCCCATCTACAGGGTCTGATGGTCTAGTGGTAGGATTCTCGCTTTGGGTTGAGCACTGTCTGACTTTAATGCGAGAGGTCCCGGGTTCAATCCCCGGTCAGACCCGTTGTTACTTTTTTGGTGATTTTTTCTCGATTGAAACATACCCGAATAGTTTTTAGAAAGAATGCTAGGAACGGCAACATTCTTGTTCATAGTCTTACTTCCTTCTTCCTTGTGTCCCCGCTCGTTTCCGTTCTTATTCGCGCCTTTGCGAAGACCTCCTACCCAGCGGTAAAGGGAGTAGTCTTAACATAAGTCATGTTGATCCTGATAGCTGCATTAGTCGTAGGTTACTAGAGAGGCCCGTTAGAGCCTTAATGAAACATACCATGAAGTCCCCTGACTAGCGAAGAAATTGGCAAGTTGGAATTGCGCAACATCAACATCAGAAAGCTGCCGTGAGAAGGCAGCACGGCTGCTAGTGATAGCCCCGGGGCCGTAGTTGTGATATTCTCCGAAGAGGATGCCACCGGTTCGAGGATCAGTTTTCGACCACACCGACCAGCCTGCTGGTGATACCGAGCCGTCCAGGTAAGTGTTGACGTATGCAACGCGGGAGTAGTTGTTATACGGTCGGCCCAGGTAGACAGACCCAGCAGTAACCGTCCGCGCGGAAGCGACGGTGCATTGATCAAATACGAGGCCTGCAGGGTCGGTGCTTGAAGCTCTCTTCATGGCCGCGATGCTGCCGCCGTCTGTATTAGGCGCCAAGGTCGAGTTGAGGAAATACGCCGAGCCCGCGCCCCAGACGAAGTCGATGGAGCCTTGGACCAGGGTGTTGTACGCGAAGACGCTGGTCCCCTGGTTGAGGTCGAATGTGTCTTGGTTGCCGGTGATCTGGCACCCGTAGAAAGATGTGTATCCGTTATTCCCGCTTGCGAATCCTAGCGAGGCGTAGTTGTGAACTTGCCCAAAGATGTTGTTTAAGTTGATATTGTAAAGCTGGAGGTTCTGAGCCCGGGAGTACAGGGTGGCCGAGTCGGAGTTGCTCTGGTCGGCTTGTGTGTCGACTCCATGACTGTTCTGGAGGATGACTTGGTTCTGGGCATAATCATACGGGTCTTCTGAGTAGCCTCGGAAGATGGTGGTGCCAGATCGGTTGAAGACGATTTGCTCCTGATAGATACCGGGGTAGACGAATACCGTCACTGCTTGTTTGCTTGAGATGCCTTGGATAGCTTCTACCACTTGAGCGAAGCTCGAGTAAACTGTCTTGCCTTCGATAGGTGATTTGGATACAATATAGTCGCCATCAGCCGGGACCGTGGAGTAAGCTTCCGCGGACGCGGGCAGAGCAAAGAAGCTCAATAAGGACCCTAGTATGAAGCCTATTCTGAGCGCCAGCATCTTGAAGGCCACTAAGTTCGTATATTAGAGTTACTAAAGCTCTATCGGATGGTCCAGAGACCTGAGTGGTCTTTATAAACGGAGTGTCATAATACAATTCACACTTAGGAGGAACGAACACAGAGGGTACTCGCGCACATTCTTCCGCCTAGTAGCTGATCTAGAATCGTGGCAAATGAATCGTGAACCTGTTCTAAAGTCATTCAAATGGTTATTCGCTTGTGGCGCAGCTCATGCCCAATATTGGGTTATTCTGAAGCCTCATGAGTTGATTCTAGCCAAAATGCGTAGCCCCTAAAGAGACTCGGATCTAGAACCGTGGGTAATAGCCCAATCTTGGTGTCCTATGTAACGATATGCAGCCAAGGTCATGTCCCCGCATCCCGTTATATATCACCGATCTTACCAAAATTCTCCAGGGGCGTTCGTTCGGCTCAAGAGGGACCGAGATTTTCCTACCAACAGATGTGAACCCTTCAGGCTGCTGGGAAGCTGCCAGAAGAGGAGGCTAGTTCCTGGGAAAGGCACCTATATATCGCCCCAGCTTCAGTTGTAGAGTAAAATAGAATGATATCAAGACGAATGAGACGGGCTGTGCATCTTTCCCAACCGTAAAAATCTCGTATCTAGGACGTTCGTCCAGTTAGCCTCTGCTAGAATGTTCCCATTGAAGCTAATAACTATTACTTTCCTCGCAGCTCAGGTGACGGCGTTCTTGAATGCGACTGAGACTCGCGATCAATATATCCTGCAGAACGATGACCTGTACGTGGCGGTGGGCAAGAGCAGCGGGCAGGTTGCGAAGCTCCTCCTAGGAAAGGAAGATCTCTTGGGCACGGGTACAGGACCATATCTTGATTGCTCCTGTGTCCCCAGTGGTTTCTGGGCCCCCGGTGGCACTGCGCGCTTCCAACTCATACGCGGCACCGACTCGACTGGAACACCATACGGCGGTGTCGTGATGCGGGATACGTACTCATCGACGAACCAGACACTAGAGCAATATTGGTTCTTAAGAGAAGGTGAAACCGGCTTGCACGTTTTCTCTCGAGTTACATATTTCAACCAGAAGACGCCTTTTCTGCGAGGACTCGGCGAGCTGCGCACGCTGTTTCGGCCCAACACGCGCCTGTGGACTCATCTCTCCGGTAGCGACGGGAATTGGGCACCCATCCCTTCGGCCGATGCTAATAGGAGAGCTGTTACGGTTCAAGATGCCACGACTTACTTAGGGGATGCGACTAACGATGCTTACGTGGAGCAATACTCGGACTACTTCACGAAGTACGCCTTTGCCGAAGTCTGGCGTGACCATGATGTCCACGGTCAATTCTCAGATGGATCGACTTCTTCTGATGGAAATACTTATGGCGCTTGGTTGGTCCATAATACAAGAGAGACATATTATGGTGGCCCTTTGCATTCAGACCTTGTTATAGATGGTATAGTCGTAAGTCTCTCCTGACAGTTTTGCGAGGCTGTTCGAGTAGGAAGGTGGCTCACGCTGTACTCATCTTTACAGTACAACTATATGGTGTCCGGCCACCATGGTGCGCCTGTTCCCAATATTACTCATGGGTTCGACCGAACTTGGGGCCCGCAGTACTACTACTTTAATAAAGGCGGACCAAAGACAACACTCGCCGAACTGAGAGCTGACGCGGCAAAATTCGCAGATCCAGAGTGGAATAGCGAATTCTATGATAGCATTGCTCAGTACGTGCCGAACTACACACCAACGTCACAGCGGACTACGTTCAAGGCCACCATCAACTTGCCCGACGGGGCAAAGAGGCCTCTTGCTGTTCTCGCGGAGAATAAGCAAGACTTTCAACTGAATGTGTTCAACCAATCCAGTCTGCAGTACTGGGCTGATATTGATCCCAGTACTGGAGCTGTGGAGATTCCTAGAGTAAAAGAAGGCATATACAGATTGACCGTGTATGCCGAGGGGATCTTCGGATGGTTTATCCAAGATGATGTCGAGGTATCAAAAACCTCGAAAAATAGCACATTTGAGTGGAAGCCAGAAAGTACAGGCAAAGAAATCTGGCGGGTCGGTACGCCGGACAAGTCAGCAGGAGAGTATAGACACGGCTATGCGCCAGACACGTCGAAGCCCTTACAGCCCGAGCAATACCGTGTCTACTGGGCTAATTGGGACTTCCCGACCGACTTTCCAAACGGAGTGAATTTCAAGATTGGACAGAGCAGAGAGGCCGAGGATTTCAATTACATACACTGGAGCGTCTTCCCAGGTCGTTCGAATTATTTCCGCCCAGAGCCGTACTATGAAAATGTCAATAACTGGACCATCCAGTTCAACCTGACCAGCGACCAACTCACTGGCGAGCAGACTCAGACCGGAACACTGACAGTCGAATTCGCAGGTGTTAAGACAGCCAACGGAAACGACAAGTGGGCATCGCTTCCAAAGGAGAAGTATTCCAATCTTCCCTACACTGTCGCTGTTAATGGGCGCGACCTGGAAACCTGGATTATACCGTCTTATCGCAGTGGCTCGTGCGGCGTCCGGAGCAGTGTGGTCTGCCAAAATTTTGGGAAGAAGTTTTCGTTTTCGGCGTCAGAGTTTTTGAAGGAAGGTTTAAATGAATTCGTGCTGAGCCTGCCGTTCAACGCGACGGATACGGAGACTGCCTTGTTACCGACCACAGTATACGTACAGTATGATGCGTTGAGGTTCGAGCTTAGTTGAAGGGGAAAATGACCTTGGTAGCTAGGTTACATAAGTTGTCTCTCTGCTATGTACATGTATCCGTATCCCAATGTAAAGACGGTCCTTGTATGAAGTCATCTCAAGTTGCTATCGCGCTTCTGCGACAATGTGATACTACATAGTCAATGGGCCTTGTTTGTATACACTAAGGACGCGGTGTGGGTCTTGTCCATACAGTTCTCCTTGAGTTTAATACCGGGGTGGCCGTGATTAAATTAAGCTGCGTCGTTAATTATTGAACTTACGTTATGTTTGAAATGAAGGAAGCCAAAGTTAGAAGGTTCAAACTAGCTAAAGCATACCTATGTGCTCTCTCAGCTAGGTTAGGACTATATAACTCGTCGCTTCCTTGTCAGGGTTGAGATTTATTTATAGAAAGCCTCGCGCATTGAGAACATTGGTTGGTACCTAATGCATGCCCTCGGCAACTGTGATTCGCGCAATCAAATTATCGATAAAGATTAAGTTCTTATTCCGAGCCGCGTCCACCATAACTTGACGCGACGTCACAATCCCAACCCCCACGTCGATCTTTAATTCCTCTCTAATTCCTCACTTGAATTACTTACTTTTCTTATTTACCTACCTACTCAATTACCCGACGCCCCAATTGTCGACTTATCTACTGCCCGCTACCCTGACCGATGTTGCGTTAAGAGACCGTGATCTCCGGAATCCATGCAACAGCTGCGAGTCTTTGACACTACACGAGCTGCAGACCGGGCTGGGCAAACGACGGCCTCGGATACCGCCGACTACCACACTACCAATTCAACAAGGGGTCGTACGTCGGTCGGATGGCTGCAAAGGACTATGACGAGATAGCAGTGATGGATGAAGACATGAAGGGCGAGAGCCAGGCGAATCATGGAACCCACGGGTTTGGAGTAGTTGAGAAGTCTCCGCTTTCAAAGTCACGAAGCCTATCGGACGGAGGAGGCACTCAATTATCGCCATCTCCTCACATCCTCGAGGCCTC